TCTTCCCCAAACAACTCATTGTCGTTGTTATCTTTTCCAAAAGTTGAGATAAACAAAAAAAAACAAAAAAAAAATGTTGGATACACCAGTCCAGTATAAATAACTCAAAATGTTTGGATACCCAGTACAAACAAATTGGATAACCAGTACGCATAAGTTGGATATGCATATAAATCTGTTGCATAACCAATATACATAAGTTAGATAGTCATACAAGCAAGTTGGATAGATATACAAACTAAATGGATAAGAATTTTCAGAAGAAAAAAAACATTTTCTTCATTTCTGCCCGTAAATTTAAATGCATTTAAAGTTCGAAAAAAATCTTCAATATTGATCTTATCAGATAGATCTCACCGAGTAATATAAATTTTATATATAATTCATGTTCTAATTATTCACGAATGAAGAGATATAAGTAACACAACACTATGAATATACAATAGTTGGTTATCCATATTTTTAGTATCCATCTTATTTCAGCCCATCAAAATTTGATCATTTTTAATCTCAAAAAAAATATTCGATATGGATCTTATGGGATAAATTTCGACGAGTACTATAAATTTCATATATAATTTGTTCATAAATTATTTACGTATCATGAGTTATATTCATCTAAAGATTAGAGATGTTTTTTTAGAGGAAAGAGAAAAAAGTAACAGGGACTAAATTTGAAAAATATAAACAATTATTTAGAAAAAGTACAACAAGGATTAATAACGCAAAAAATAAGAAGAGTACCATGGTGGTTCCGGGTGCACCTAAGAATTTGCCCAAGTAAAAAACCAAAATCTAAAACACAAAAAATCTCCACACAAACCAATGTTCCTGATCGCCTCCAGTGTTTTAGTTCTAACTCCATATTGTAGCTCTAATCACATTGATGTTGGATATACATACTTCAATGTTATTTCTTCCAAGACTTCCAATGCTCGTTGTACTTGAAAAGCGATTCAACTTGCATATATCATGGTTAAATTGGAAACAATGTTATTCTTGATATTGATACTTCAAGTCTTCAAGTATTAGTAAGTATGCACGGTTAAAGAGGAAAGATTATGGGTTTTATTAATTGGTGGCCTTGTTCGGCCTATTCGGAAATTGCTTAGTAGGAATTTTTCGTGAATTAAAATTTGCGGCAAATTATTTGGCATCATGATCTTAGGGAATTACATTGGTTGGACAGTCCTTCGTTAATGGCTCAAATGTAGATATTAAGTTTTTGTGGTGACTTAGTCTGAAATTATGTCAAATTTTGGTAGTCAAAAATGAATTTTTCCCATTTATATGTAAATAAATTGCATAGATTGTTCGATAATCGGTTGACATTGCAATTTACGGGTCACCAGACTTGTCTGTTCCCGTAAATAATTCCACCACCATCAACAGTAAACTTGTGAGATTGAAAACTTGATCCAAATCTTAATACTCCCTTCGTCCCATAATTATTGTTCAGTTTAGGTTTTCATTTTTAGTTCAAAATGTACTAAAAGTAAAATTTCAAACTGGACAATAATTTTGGGATGGAAGGAGTACTATGTATCTTTAGATGGATGAGACCTACTTTGATCTCTTAAAACTTTGTAGAAAACGGAATAAGAAATTCTGCTTGTGTCACACATACATTGATTGTAGTTGGAACATGACATGAAACAAAACACACCACACGAATATGATCATTACAAAAATTACAAATATTTTCCTTTCATAATAATGAATAACAACATAATGCATTCATCTGTCACATATAGAAGTTTGAACAAACATTAAAACGTGTAAAACGTGTTTTTTTTTTTTTTGGGGAAAATGTAAACTTTATATATATCAAAAGGCATGAAGCATATATACACCCAACCTATCCTTCTTACTGCCATTTACAAAAGCAGCTATCTATGGAAACAAAAATTGTCAAAATATTGTTCTCTGTTTCAGACAGTCCTGCTGAACCATCCTTTGATTCTCCAATGAATCTCCTGTTGAATAATGCTCACAATTTGATCACAGTTCCTGCACTATTTTGTAAAAACATAGAGGTTCCTCTCTTCCCATATGTGATAGATAGCTGCTACCAGAGTTGCACACCATATCCTGTAAAAACGTGTAATTTGAACGTGTTAATAGTCCATTTCTTGAAAATAAAATTAATACAGAATAATGATACACATCAACTTGAAAAAAGAATTCAATTTTTGCCTCACACAAAACATTTTCTGGTTATGATGTGGTCACGCTTAATTTCTTCGTCATTATATGTGAAGCTAATAGATAATACTATTCCTTTCGTATTGAAATGATTGTTTAATTTGAACTGTTTTTATTTTCAGTGATAATCGCCCTAAAAGTTGAAATCCAAATAAAACACTCATGATGAGAAAGAGGGGCTGATACAAGTATTTGTAGGGAAGAAGATAAACCAAAAGGAACTATGAGACTTGGGTAGTGCTGTACAATTTCATTATCATATAAATTAGTAGCTTTTTTCCAATAAAGTTGTGTTTCTGACGATGTATAACGCACCGTGACTCTTGTCTTGCACTTACAGTATCAGATAATTAATTTCTTGAAGTTTTCTTGTTTCAACCCAATAGAATTGAATCAGAGTAATTCTTTGATGGGAAACCATGAAGAAGTTGCATTTTGTTCAGATTGGTTACGTGAAATAAATTTGACGCCGCCCAATATAGTCAAGATTCTACGATTGCCAAAGATTTTAAAAATGGTGGAACCTTCATTTTGGTTTCTCACTCCAATATCTTTCAAAACAAATTAATCCTTCTTCTTTTGACTTCCTAAATATAAGTTTCCATGAAGTCTTTTTCATTAAGTATTGTTGAAGGAATCATTTGATCAGTGCATATAATTGTTGACCCAATCATTTGATCGGTTCAGAGCAGCCAATATAATCATTTGATCATTAATCCTTCTGCGCAATAACATTTGTGTATTAAGATTCACATTTAACAGTAGTGTTTTAGTTACATGGATCAAATATCACATATGATCCGATCCCTTTTTCAACTATGAACCATTAGTTATTAACCAGTAGTTATTGATTATTACCCCCAAAAAAAGGAAAAAAGAAAGCATAGACTGTTCGAAATAAATTAGTCCATTTTGTTGACTCCTTCTCACAAAAATAATTCAAATTAAATTTTAAGTTGTACTACATCTAGGACAGGGAAAGTATTATTTTGGGGTACAGGATCCTCTGTGTTACTTTCTTGTAACACTCACCCTGACACAATCCAATTACTTCTTATAAATTATATAATTTGTGTCAATACATACACCATTCACAATCACTTTCGAACTTATATATTTTAGGACTAAGGGTTCACTTCTTTCGGGTTATGGCTTATTTATTTTAATTTTCATAGTTAAAAAATTCTAGTCAAATTTCATAAATAATAAAACATTGATATAAAAAATAAAATAAGAATATGAAAATTATATACATTGAAAATATGTGACTGTATTAGCACAAATTATATAATTTATAAAGAGTAATTAGATTGTGTGAGAGTGAGTGTCACAAGAATTATTTTGTTTCAACAAAATGGATCTTGTTTGGGAATAGAGGTGATGCTGTTTTGTTCCTTTATTTTATTATGGTGAACTTTTAACTGCATTCTGTAACTTTAGTGTGTGGATTCAAGTTGAAGCTTGAACGGTATCATTAAAAAAACAATTCCTCTCTGTAAGTTGAAATTTATTTTGACAATATTGCCTGTTCGACTATAAATATGAAGTTTTGATGTTAATTTCAAGTTTGACCTTGATTTGGAAATTACTCATTAGGCTTGTTTACTTCTCAAAGTCAATGGTTTTCCGGACATTTATCATGAGCACGTGCAATTATCAATTCTTCAGTTTTTTTGTTTTAAAAAAAAAGATATTGTAGCTAAAGTTTGTAACTTTTGTACATTACAGAGTTTGAAAATCAAATGACTATCAGTGGCAACTCGAATCTTCTGAGCTGGTCAATAAGTATAAATTATTTTAGAACTCATCACCTAAAAATTTGAAAACAACAGAAACAATAACAAATGAGGCTCTTGCTAATTTATTAGATCCATTCATCCAAGTTCCAACTCATTAATCTTAATTTATGTACACAATTAGTATAAATATCTGAGTAGGTTTAGCTGCATTAAGCTGACTATGAGCTGGTTGCGGCTCTTGCTAATTTTATATCTTTAGTGAATTTCTATAAATTATTAATCAATTTAGTGCAGCGGTGACTAATTATTTTGTTCCTCTATCATATGTATGCATTTTGCATAAAAACTTCTCCAACGTCTATGGTTGGACGGAGAAAAAAGCCATAATTTCTCAGGATGCAATCGTTTCTTTTCCTCGTTTTATGTTTTCTCTCTGGTTTCCTCCCATCAACTAGTTTAGGGATCACTAATCTTACCACTGATCAGCTTGCTCTTTTGGCCTTCAAAAACCATGTTTCTGATCCTCTCCAAATCCTTTCCACAAATTGGTCAGCAAATCCTTCTGTATCAGTTTGTGATTGGATTGGAGTCGCTTGCGGTTCTCGTCATCGTCGAGTGACGGCTTTAAATCTTCCGCTGATGAGTCTTTCTGGCACCATTCCTCCACAACTTGGGAACCTTTCCTTTCTCATGTCACTTAATCTTGCCAGAAATAATTTCTATGGAGAATTACCTAGTGAATTGTCCCGTTTACGACGCCTCAATTCCCTTTATTTGAGTACCAATAGTTTGAGTGGCGAAATTCCGTCATGGATTGGTTCGTTGCATGAGCTTCGGAACTTATATCTCAGAAATAATAGTTTCACGGGTTCTATTCCGACATCTCTTTATAATCTCTCCAATCTCGAGGATTTACGATTGTCGGTCAACTTTCTTCAAGGAAGTTTGCCCAAAAGTATTGGGAGTCTTCAGAATTTGAAATTCCTAGACATTTCGCAAAACCAAATTTCAGGTGAAATTCCAGCTGAGCTCTACAATATATCAGCACTGAAACTTATGGCTCTCATGAATAATAGTCTCTCCGGGGGATTGCCAATGTCTTTATGCGACCGATTAAGGAATCTCAACCAGGTTCTCCTTTCAGATAATAAGCTCAACGGTCCCTTACCATCCAATCTATCTCAGTGTTCGGAGCTTCAAATGTTGTCCCTTTCTTACAACGAATTCACCGGATTCATACCGAGAGGAATTGGAAACTTGACCTCACTTGAGGAACTTTATCTTGGTAGGAACCAACTGGAAGGATTCATACCGCAAGAAATCGGAAGCTTGAAAGCACTTAAAGTACTTGATGCTGGTTCGAACAATTTCACAGGTACGTACCTGAAACCTTATTCGTCACTCAGTCTCAAAATGATTTTCGCGTTAGAATTTTATTTTTTGGTAGAATTTAATTCAAAATATGTAGTTTCTACTCTTACTCCTTTCATCCTAAAAAATTCATGCCAAAAAATCAACAAGAATTACGTCAGCTTAACGTTGAGCTGTTAATATCTTATCTCGATATTCTACATGCACATGGAGGAGATTTTTCCATTCTCTCTAATTGACAAAACTAACTTATAGCCAGATTATTGTATTGTTATTGTTTCAGGTAAAAAAAATAAAAAATACTCAAATTTAAGTAAGAAAAATTAATTCAACGAGAACCAAAATAATAAGGAAGTCACTACTCCCATGTCACAAAACTAAAACTTTATAGAGATGGAAAAAGTTCTTGGCCCTTAAACATCATGTTCTTCCATATATCATAGTTGCTTCTGTGATGGAGAATATATTAACATTTCTTTCACGAGATCTGTTGAAGATAGAACCTAAGCCTCACAAAGGGAGAAGGGAAAACAAAATCTCATTCCAAGAGAAAAATATTAAAAAACTCCTTCCCATAGAGCATAAACTCCCCCGAGCAGAGAGCAAAAACACTCATAAAACCCTTAACTATTAAACTAAGTGAATGCAGGATAGAGGGAGATAAAAAGAGATTTATTATTCCTATGTTCTAAAATATTTGTATGATTTGGTTTGTCATTTTTAATATAAATTATATTAAAAGAATTCTAAATTGAACAATTATTTGAACGGAGAAGTTGAGACAACCTGCACACTAGTCTACTAAAAAAATATAATGGCCCTTGTCAACTTGGTCGAGATTTTCATTTTCATTTTGCTCACTTCCTTAGAACACGACTTAGTCAAAATTTTTTACTTTCGGAGTATAGTATTTTAGAATATTAGGCCTTTGCCACCTTCATTGTACCAAACAAAATAATAATAAATAAATAAATTAATGGCCAATCAATCAATTTAGCACAACTTGCTGACGGACAATCCTTCCTATATTCACCAAAACCTCTTTTAGCCCAACTTTTAGCGTTTTTAGTACAATAATAAGACAAGTATCTAGTTTATTAAATCAACACATCTTGGGCTGTGAATACTCTGAATTGGTGGACGTAGTAAATCCATATAGTAATTATTTTTACTTAATTTGTTCATAACATGATTTTACAGGTGTATTACCTCTGGAGCTTAGCTATTTGAACCATCTTGAAGTTTTTTCGTTAAACACCAATAGCTTAAGTGGATCTTTACCCGTTGGGATATTCAACATTTCTTCCTTAAGTATAATAAGCTTGGAATTCAACAACCTATCAGGAACTCTTCCATCAAATATGTGTGGTGAACTTTCCACTCTAGAAGAGCTCTATCTTGAGGACAATAATTTCACAGGACACATTCTTAACACAATTTTAAATTGTTCCAATCTCATAAACATTGATTTAAGTGACAATCACTTTGTTGGTTCCATTCCAAATGACTTGGGGAATCTTAGACTCCTGAAATTTTTGAATTTAGGAGACAACTACTTCACAAGTGAGTCTCCATCTTTAGAGCTTGAATTCATGAATTCACTTTCAAATTGCAAAGATTTGGAGTTGTTGGATGTGCATGGAAATCTGCTAGGTGGCTATCTCCCTAAGTCGGTTGGAAATCTTTCGGCTTCTCTTGAACAATTTTTTGCCGCAAATAGCAGCATCAGGGGAGAAATCCCAATGGAATTCGGTAATTTAAGAAGTCTAATTACTTTAGACTTGCAAAGAAATCACTTGACGGGTTCAATTCCTGAAACATTCAAGGGTTTAAAAGCTCTTCAAAAGTTAATTTTAAATGATAATGAGTTGAGTGGGGCCATGCTTGATAAACTATGTGGTTTGCCAAGGTTGGGTGGTCTATATCTAAATGGAAATAAGATTTTGGAGCCAATTCCAAAATGTTTGGGTAATGTTACTTCGTTGAGATACCTTGTATTGCACTCAAACAGATTACATTCATCCATTCCTTCTAGCTTGTGGAACATGAAAAATCTGTTGATACTTACCCTTTCCGAAAATTTATTGACTGGATCTCTACCTCTAGAAGTCGGGAATTTGAAGGCTGCTTCAGGACTAGATTTTTCGAAAAATAACCTCTCGCATGAAATTCCTCACACGATTGGAGGTTTACAGAACTTGGAGTACTTATCATTAGCATTCAATGAATTTCAAGGTACAATCCCAGAGTCTGTCGGTGGGATGGTAGGATTGAAGACATTGGATTTATCGCACAACAATCTTTCTGGTACGATTCCAATGACATTGGAAAAGTTGCGATATCTAAAGTACTTTAATGTTTCTTTCAATCATTTGATTGGTGAAATTCCATCACATGGTCCATTCCAAAACTTTACAAGTGAATCATTCATTTCCAATAAAGATCTTTGCGGGGATCAAAAGTTCCATGTTCCTCCTTGCCCAAAAACTTCATATCCTGAAGTGAGAGGTCAAAAGAGGTCTAAGGTTTTATTTGCTTTGCTTAGTGTGGCCGTTGTTGTGGGTATCATTGCCTTCATTGGCATTTACATCCGGTTCCTCAGAAAAGGAAAAATCCATGTTCCGGGACTGTCAAATGCGTTGTTTGATGCATCACTTGTACGATTTAGTTATTACCAGCTTGCACATGCAACAAATGGATTTGATGAGAGTAATTTATTAGGAAAGGGAAGTTTTGCATCTGTTTATAAAGGTATCACTAATGAGGGGACAATTTTCGCCATCAAGGTATTCAATCCAGAAATGCAAGAAGCCTTCAAAAGTTTTGATAGGGAATGTGAAATGCTACGCAACCTTCGACATAGAAATCTTACAAAAGTCATCAGCAGTTGTTCAACACCGGATTTCAAGGCAATAATACTTGAATTCATGCCAAATGGTAGTCTTGATAAGTGGTTGTATTCACACAACTATTCGTTAAGCTTAATACAACGGCTCAACATTATGATTGATGTAGCCATTGCATTGGAATATCTTCATAATGAACACTTGACACCAGTGGTTCACTGTGATTTGAAGCCTAGTAACATTCTACTAGACCTCGACATGGTAGCACATGTAACTGATTTCAGTATTTCAAAGTTTTTGAGCAAAGAGGATTGTGTCATACACACCCAAACGATTGCAACATTTGGTTATGTTGCTCCAGGTAACACCACTTTTTTCACTACTCTTATATGGCACATTATTTTTATTTGATCACCTTATTGTTGTGAGAGAGAATATTTTCTCTACTTAAAAAAAGCGTATGCTAATTGCATAAAAAAAATAAAATTATTATGCAGAATATGGAACCGAAGGATTAGTTTCCACAAGATGTGATGTTTACAGCTATGGAATCATTATGATGGAACTTTTTACTAGAACAAAGCCAAATGATGATATGTTTGATGGAAACTTCAACCTGAGGACATGGGTGAATGATGCAATGGCCTCTGAATTGGCCACGGTGCTAGATGCCAATATTTTGAATCGTGATGATGTGAATTTCAATGAAAAGCTGCAGAGTTTGTATTCTATTATGGAAGTGGCTCTTAATTGTACAAAAGACCAACCAGGAGAAAGAAGGAACATAAAAGAAATTCTTGATGCATTGAACAAAATTAAAGTAAAAATTCTCACATATCATGCACAATGAAATTTAATTGTTTTTATCTCCTCACTGCATATTACAAAGTCCAACTAAATAGAGGAGCCAAAACTTTCTGATAAATTTTCTTTGTGTATTCGAGAATTCAATAAGCTATTCATACATGTAGAAACTATGTAATGGTAATTGTAAACATTTGGTTGTGATTGACAGTGTAACCTTTGATTTATTTTTTATTCTTTTTAAGAAATCCTGCATATAGTGGGAGTAGTTATCAAATTTATTGTATGAAAAAAATAATAAAAATCGGCAATTAATCCTTATGTATTAAGAGAGGAGAATTCCAGGATAAATGGAGTTTTGTTGGTCAATTGAAAATAATGTAGTCAGACCTGGATTAGAAGATGGTCGGTGAAGTTATTATGTCACTAGGTTACTAAGTCAATTCGGTTAGCCCTAGACAAAAAATTGGATAAGACCGGATGATGACATTTATAATTTTTAATTTTAAATATATATATATATATATGTATGTATACATATATATTAGTAATGCAACTTTTACAGTTCTAAGTATTAATATAAAAATTTATATCTTAGAATTTTTCAAAGCATAATAAAATTTTTAATCAAAGTAAGAGAAACCTTTGATTTAAATAAATAAGTTTACAATAATACAGTGTATTTGATTAATTACAACTAAAATCATTCCACTCTAAATATGTTTAGTACTCCAAAATTGGAGATTTACTGATAAAATATAAAATGTCCTATCTAACATAACTAAAAAAATAAAAATAGGGGTCAATGCAACGGGATTACAAATAGATATGAATCTTAGGATCCAACAAAGCGTGACTCTATGACTGCGGTAGCTTGTGTCCAATTACGGCACCAACAAAGTGCTCTTGTTCCACCTATAACTCGCGAAGACAACCAATGACACAAAGGACAATTCAATTCAAGGATGAAACGAATAGAAAATTGAAAAGATGGTAAACAAGAAAATGGAAAAAAAAAAGTGTTCTAGGGACGAAATACTAAGAGAATATGTCGATTAAATCCCCATCTCACGATGGAAATGCTTCAATTTGTTCCAAAATAACAACGAACTTAACATCTAGGTTGAGAAACGCACAATTTCGAACAAGAAAAGTCGCACAATTTGCAAGAAACTCAATTGAAGTTTATGCGCCACATTAATCTCGCAAGATTAACCACAAAGAATTTCACTCGTTTTTTCATAAAATCATCAATCAAAATATATTAAATCACCCTCCAAACTTCACGGTCTAGAACCCCTACTTATAAGGAATAGGGTTGGCCAAAACCTAGTCCAAAACTAATTACAAGTCCTATTTGATTTTGACTACTGATTATTTCATAAAATAAATAAAAGTTCTTAATTAAATAATTATACATGTAACAATTATTTAATATTTATTAAAAAAAATCTTCTAAGTCGGCCATGAAGTTATGTGGATGAAAATAATATAAATTACATGACTAGGATTAAACCAACCACTGTATGATCAAAATTAACATAATGGTCATCATGTTTGGAATAATCCTTAATCGTCCTTCTACGATCAGATCACAAAGAGCTGGAGTCAAATTATAAAGAAAAAGGCAAAAAACCGTGAAAAAGGACAAATCGGTTCCTGATCAACCGCATCTTTGACAACATTTTGACCGGTTCAAGTACTGTCCGTTTTAAAGCAAAAACATATTTACAACATTGATTGAAAAGCCTACCGGACACGTGTCATAATTAGAGAAGTTTGTTAAAAAAAAATATTACTTTAAAGGAATTTCTATGGTTTATTACTAGATATGTTCTGTAATTACCAATGGAAAGAAATCAAAATTAAACTTTTCTGGTACTAAAGGATAATAAGTGATTCATTATGAATAGGTGATAATCTAACAAATAACATTTTTCGATATTAGGCAAATTCAAAAATTAAAAGCAAATTTTTTTTGCAGCTAAAGGATAAGTGATCCAGTAGATAATATAAGAGAATTTATATACTAAGAACAGGTTTTTTTTAGATTGAGAGCAATTCTTTTTCAAATACCAATATTACCCTTCAACACAATATTTGCTTATTTACTTACTCATTTATATATGGGTAGTGTTTGCTGTGAAAAATCAATTCTCCAGCCCCATTAATTGGTCTATCTCATTCTGATGGAATTAAAAATAACACATGAGACCCATGATTGATAGAATCTTATATTGAATCCAAATCTTTGTTAAACACCTAGAAGGTGAACACCTTTATAAACTCTAACAAGCTGGCAATTGAACCGATAAATGCTAGATGTTCGTATCAATTATTTTAAGAAAATGATCTCTCTAATTTTTTTCCCAAATTCTCATGTATCTTCTCTCTGAAGCTTTTTTTTTTTTTAGATCGGGCATTTCCTGATAGGTATTCTCCTGATTTTATTAATTAAAAGGAAAAGTTATACATGCAGTGCTTAAAACTTACCCAAAAAGAAAAGAGAATCGTCTTACAAAGATTTTCTAAAATCTTCTGACGGTTCTTAAACATTCTCTGTGAAGTTTAAATTTGTGCATCAATCATTTTAAGAAAAAGCAAACAATCCTCCTATCCATAAAATACAATTACAATAATATTAACAACGACATAAAAAGTTGATTATGATTCAATTTTCCTATACGTTTAATCTATCTCCCAAACCTCCACTTCTCAAAGGCCGTTAAACAAATTTTGAACCATGTCCTCACAACATAGAAGGCCTTTTGATTCAATTTCTTTCTCGGTGGTCTTTTTAAAAATTTCAATATCTTTATTAGTGCTATAAATGATTTACCGTCAATCCAATTCAAGTCTTTCAAGAACTTATTATATTCTTAATAAAATTAGAGGCAGTATGAGCCAATATTCTTTAAAAATAATTAGATCACGTATTAAGATGTTCAGAGATACCTAAAATTTCCTAACAATGAGACTTTGAAACCTATAAAACGGAGAAAATTTCCTATGGACTTATTTTACTCGTAATCAAATTAGAGGTAGTCTGAGCCAATATTCTTAAACAAAAACTAATTAATGCGAATAATTGGAGTGATTGAGATTAGACATTAAAATTCTTTAACAAGTCGGTTTTCGAAGAAATTAAAACCTCTAATTCATTGCGTATCATAAATCAAAACCCCATAGATTAATGTTGAAAAAGTATTGAGACAAAAAAATAATCTGGCTTTATTCGTCTAGAAAAAACTCTCTCTGTTCCTTACCCGTTCTCTCGGTCCAAGTTAGCAACCTGCTAACAGGCGCCACACCATGGCAAAGACGGTGAGGAAAAAACCCATTAAGTTTGAAAGATCAGTACTATTGAACCATGATTCAACCGGCAATACTTTACGGATAAGAGTGTTAGGCTACTAATATGAAAACGAACAAAAAAAATATGTGAATAGCAAAAATGAGAATGTTAAAATGGATGTGTGGATATACTAAGTTATGATTAGAAATAAATATATCAAAAAGAAAGTATGGGTAGCTCTGATTGATGGGAAATGAGAAATATACATCTAAAAAGGTTCAGACATGTGCAAAGGAGATCAATAGAGGCCCCCAGTTAAGAGGGTAAAAACTATTGAATAAAAAATTCAAATTAAAAAGGTAGAGGTAGACCTATGAAAATCTGAAAAGAAACTCTCAAAAATGATTTGAAATATTTGATGAAGCATGGATCTGTACGATGCCTTAGGACGGACGACGATGATGATCTAGGCGGCGGCAGATGGCCTAAACCTTCAAGACAGAGCCTCGGGTGTCTCCCGAGGGTAGACTCTCTGATGCTTAAGTCAATAAAGGAATAGAGAAAATAGAAAGAGAGAGAGAGAGAGAGAGAGAGAGAGAGAGAGAGAGGGATGTGTATCGTGTGTAGAAGGTGTAGAAGATAGGTAGAAGATAGGCAGAAGATATGAATTATGAGGGAGACACCACCTCTTTATATAGAGGTGGTGTTACCTGTTTCCTGAAAACCTAGCGGAATAGGTTTAGGTGGTGGCTTAATCTTCAAGTAACCTAATCCTAGGCCCAATAGGCCTAGGGTTTATTTCGGACTCGTCAAGTGCCCCTAGCAAGCCATATTCTCGAGACTTGATGAGAAGGATATGGGTTGCTACGAGTATTGATGTCTTCTCGTGGTGTTTTTCCCAGTTCTTGAACTCTTTCGTTCTCGGGTGTCACCTACATAAGATAAAGAGAATAAAGTGCCTCGAGGAGGTCTTTGTATTAGTGAGTTCGTGATTAGAAGGGGGAAGCCTGCGGTTGTCTGTCGTGCAGGTCTTGTGGTTGTGCCCGACTAGCACGTCTTATTTGGCCGTTGCCCGACTAGCAGATCTTTGTGGGTCGTGCCCGACTAGCAGGTCTTATTTAAACCCGGTGCCTGACTAACAGGTCTTTGTGGGTCGTGCCCAACTTGCAGGTCTTATTTAAACCCAGTGCCCGACTAGCAGTTCTTTCATGACATGTAGTAATAAAATACTCGTAAAGAATATCAGCTGAAGATTAAGTTATATTCGAGAAATATATCAAAATAGGTTTGAGAAGTACCTTGATCTCGAGAGATGAATTGATTACTCAAGAAGGTGTTACCTCGATTCCGAGAAGGTATTATTTGGGTAGATGAAAGTCGAGATACGTCTTCTCGAACAGTTCGAGTAGTAGCAAGGTGCTCGAGGGATGCTTGCCCCTTTGAGGAGATGTATATTCTCGAATACTTCGTGTAGTAATATGGTGCTCGAGGGATTATTGCCCCTTCGAGGAGATGTATCTCTCGAAACTCTAATTTTCTATATTGCCCCTTGCTAATTGTTCTTCTCGATCAGCGGTGGAGCAAGTGCAGCTCCTTGATTATTTGTACAATCGAAAGCTTCTTTGTGCTACTTGTCGCCTGACATCTTCTTGGCAAAACAAAGATAATTTTTTTCATTATCTTCTTGTTGCAAAATTAGAGCAACGAATTAACATTGTGGCTACGAAAGATACAAAAGACTCCGTGCTTCG